TTCGGTTTAGCTGCCATGAAAAATAAACAGAATATTTTCACACCTTTTTAACATTTCACAGCAGGCCAGGGGAGAGGTTTGAAAAGAGGACCTGCTATAATTACATTTGACATTTTGATTCTTTGAACTCATATTTGTCACACTGTTAAGCTTGGACCACATTCACTTGAAAAGCCATAGGAGCTTTTCAATTTTCCCCTAGTTGCTGCTGCGTAGGTTGACAAGATTTTCAAAATTCTAAACTGGGACACACCCGGGTTTGGATGTTTGGTATAAATAAAATAGTGAAAACAGTGTGTAACATTGTGGATTCTTGTGTCAGTCATAATCTGAGGGACGTCTACTGCTGCATTTTTTTGCTTTATGGTCATTTGCAAACACGGATTTCTGTACCGTAATTTTTGGTCTAGAAGGTGCATTAAATCATTGAGGTGCATTATGTAATTTAGTACCGGGGCCGCTAAAGTGCGAACCCCTCCTCCCGTACGCCTCGTGGACCGTCTGACCATCCCCCTCCCGTACGTTGAGCGGACCGTCCCCCCTCCTGTACGTTGCACGGACCGTCCCCCCTCCTGTACGTTGCATGGACCGTCCCCCCTCCTGTATGTCATATGGACCATCCCCCTACCGTATGTCACGTGGACCGTCCCCCTCCCGTAGGTCTCGCGGACCGTCACCCTCCCATACATCACACAAACCGGTTCCCCCCCTCCCGTACGCCGCATGGACCATCCCCCCTCCCGTAGGTCTCGCAGACCATCCCCCTCCCATACATCACACAGACCGGTCCCCCCTCCCATACGTCGCGCGGACCGTCCCCCCTCCCGTACGTCATATGGACCGTCCCCCTACCGTATGTCGCGCGGACCACCCCCACCCGTACACCGCATGGACCGTCCCCCCTCCCGTAGGTCTCACGGACCGTCCCCCTCCCATACATCACACAGACCGGTCCCCCCCTCCCATACGTCACACGGACCGTCCCCCTCCCGTACGTCGCGCGGACCGTCACACCCCTCTCGTATGTTGCACAGATCATCACACCCCTCCCGTATGCTGCGCGGATCGTCACACCCCTCCCGTACATCGCGCGGACCGTCACACCCCTCCCGTACATCGCGCGGACCGTCACACCCCTTCCTTACGTCGCGCGGACCGTCCCCCTCTTGTATGTCGTGCGGACTGTCCCCATCCCATACGTCGCGCAGACCATTCCCCCTCCCGTATGTGGCGCGGCGCCACTAAACCAGATCTAAACTAGGTCTGAAACAGATCAAAAAACAGGTTCCCCATTATGAAAGTAAATGTGGGAGGATAATTTAAGTTTGTTTTTTTTATTTCATACAAGGAGGACTCAAATATACATGATTCATGACATTACATGACACAACTCCACGAGGGTCCAGATTACGGTTCCTGTAATGCTCCGACAATGCTTCTTATCTTACCAAAATCGAACTAAAACATTTTGACAGATTTTTGAGCTCCGCACATAAACCACATAAAATCAGTTCGCAGTCAATAAGAACAACCAGAATTAATGCACACTGGATTATTCGATTTTTGAGAAAATTTAAGGAGTTTAAGTGCGCCTTATTGTTGGTAATTACGGTAATTTGGCCAAACAAATGACAATTTATGCTCCTCTTTACGGCTGACTGGGATTAGATCAGTCAAAAATTGTGATAGTCCTGGTTTAGACCTGGTTTAGTCTTAGTTTAGTCCTCGTTTAGATCAAAATGGTCCAAAATAGGAACACCAGGGACATTTCTTGTATAGAACTGTGACAAATCAGTGGTTTTGTATAAATCTGCTGGGACATGGGATACAGGCCTCAAAACTGGGACTGTCTCGTCAATCTATGCTGGAGATAGAGTAGCTAACTGAAAGCACTACTCTGTCTACTCAAATTAAAATTAAATCTGATCCTTATTTTAGCACAATCTGACCATAAAGAGCTGTCTTGGTTGAAACTACAACAACAGGTGAGATGATTTGTGCTGTTAAACAAGACTCGCACATATGAAATTACAGTCACAAGCAGGTTTTCAGTTTTTCAGTTCTTCACGCTCACACTTTTTTGTTGAAATTCAAACAACTAAACAGGACATGAACGCTCGTATTGATCACAGGCTCCTGAAAATGTTCTGTTTAAGTCTATTTGTTTGTTTTTTTCTTGAGTTTGGCCTTGTGTTTTTGTACCTGTGCTGGCCTGGAGTATTTTCCTGATATTACAAAGTCCCTCTCTCTGTCTCTGTCTGCGTGTGCGTCTGGTTTGTGTGGATGTGCTCTCATTGGATTGAGGATGAATTGAATTTGAAGAGACATGCGGTGCCCTGTTGACCCTATCTCTCCGTCTCTTTCTCTCTCTGTCTCTCCTTTTCTTTCTCTGTCTCATCTGTTTCTCTCTATCCCTCGTCTCTGTCACGCACACCTGTGTCTCTCCCTCTCTCTCTCTATCTATTTATTTATCTATCTGACATATCTCTTTCTCCCGTCGCTCTCCTCTCTTTCTCTTTCATGCCTGTCACTCTCTCTTTCTCACACCATTCTCTCTCTTCTGCCCCCTGCTCTCACCTGTCTTTCTCTATCCACCCTGTCTCTCTCTCTTTCTCATCTTTCTTTCTGTCTCTCTCCCTCTTTTTTCACCCCTCTCTCTCCCTCGTCTTTTTCTCTCTTCTCCTCTAACTCCCTTTCTTCCTCGATCATCTCTCTCTTTCTCTCTTTTTGTCTGTCTCGCCTGTCTCTTCTCTCTTACATTTATCTATCTATCTCTCTCTTTTCGTTCTCTCATCTGTTTCTCCATGACCCCCCTCTCTCTCTCCCTCATCTTTTTCTCTCTTCCCCTCAAACTCCCTAACTTTCACTCTCATCTCTCCCCTCCTCTCTCTCCCTCACACTCGCTCTCTCCCTCTCTCTCTTCTGCCCCCCTCACCTGTCTCTCTCTCTCTCTTTCTCACCTTTCTCTCTCTGTTTCTCTACTGGCTCTTTCCCTTTCTTTTCAACCCTCTCTCTCCCTTGTCATTTTCTCTCTTCCCCTTTCTTCCTCAACTGTCTCTCTCTTTCTTTCGCTCTGCCTTTCCTTCTCTCTGTGTCATCTCTCTCTCTCCTCCCTCCCTCTCTCTCACACACTGGTCTCTTTCTCTCTCTCTTTCCTGTTTCTCACCCTCTCACACACTTGTCTCTTATTCTCTCTCACATATCTCTCTTCCACTCTCTCTTTTCTTTCTCTCATCTGTCTCTCCATGACCCCTCTCTCTCCCCCTCTCTCACTCTCATCTCTTCACCTCTCTCTCTCCCTCTCTCACTCCTCTCCCTCTCTTCTGCCTCACCTGTATCTCTGTGTCTTTCTCTCTCTATCCCCCTCGAACTTCTTGCCTCTCTCTCTTTCTCACTTGTCTCTCTCTTTCTGTCTCTCTCTTGGCTCTATCCCTCTCTTTTTCTCTTTCTTCCCTTTTCTCCCTCAACTGTCTCTTTTGCCCTCTTTTTCTCCCTGTCTCATCTGTCTCTCTCCTCCCTCTTTCACACACCGGTCTCTCTCTCTCTCTCTTTCCTGTCTCTTACCCTCTCACACACTTGTCTCTTATTCTCTCCTCACACGTATCTCTCCCTCTCTTTCACTCCCTCTTCTCTTTCTCTTATCTTCTGTCTCTCCATGACCCCTCTCTCGCCTTCTCTCTGTCTTTCTGTGTTTTTCTCTCCCTATCCCCCTCGAACTCCCTGTCTCTCTCCCTTTCTCACCTCTTTCTCTCTTTTTCACTTGTCTCTCTCTTTCTGTCTCTCTACTGACTCTATCCCTCTTTTTCACCCCTCTCTCTCCCTTGTCTTTCTCTCTCTTCCCCTTTCTTCCTTAAGCGTCTCTCTCATTCTCTTTCTCTGTCTCACTTGTCTCTCTCCTCCCTCTTTCACACACCGGTCTCTCTGTCTCTCTTTTTCGTCTCTCACACACTTGTCTCTTATTCTCTGTCACACCTATCTCTCCCTCCCTCTCTCTCTCACTCCCTCTTCTTTTTCTCTCATCTGTCTCTCCACGACTCTCACATCTCTCTCTCCCTCTTTCCTGTCTCTCACCCTCTCACACACTTGTCTCTTATTCTCTCTCACACCTATTTATCTCTCCATCTCTCTCACTCCCTCTTCTCTTTCTCTCATCTGTCTGTCCATGATCCCCCTCTCTCTCTCCCTCTCTCTCACATCGGTCTCTCTCTCTCTCATCTCTTCACTTCTCCCTCACCCCCTCTCTCTCCCTCTTTCACATTGGTCTCTCTCTCTTTTTCTATCTCTCTACTGGCTTCTATCCCTTTCTTTTCACCCCTCTCTCTCCCTCGTCTTTCTCCTCTTCCCCTTTCTTCCTCAACCGTCTCTCTGTCTCTCCTTCTCTCTATCTCACCTGTCTCTCTCCTGCCTCTTTCACACACCGGTCTCTCTCTCTCTCTCTCTTTCTCTCTTGTCTCTCACCCTCCCACACTGTCTCTTATTCTCTCTCACTCCCTCTCTTCTTTCTCTCATCTGTCTCTCCATGACCCCCCTCTCATCCTCTCTCACATCGGTCTCTCTCTCTCTCTCTCTCATCTCTCCTCTTCTGTCTCCCTCTCTCACATCGGTTTCTCTCTCACCTCCCCCACCCCATGTCGGTCTCTCTCTTTTATCTCTCCCCCTCTTTCTCTCCTTCTCTCACACATCAATCTCGTTCTCTCGTATCTCCTCCTCTGTCTCCTTCTCTCACACGTCTCTCTCTCTCTCTCATCTCTCCCCGTCTTTCTCTCCTTCTCTCTCACGTCGGTCTCTCTCTCTCATCGCCCTCCCGCTCTCTCTCCCTCCCTCACATGGGTTTCTCTCTCTTTTATCTCTCCACCTCTCTCTCACACACCTGTTTCAAAACTCATCTTTCTTTCTCACCCATCTCTGTCTCTCTCTTTCTCTCCTCTATCACTCCACGCCAACCTCTCTCACACCCTCCCGTTCTCACACTCGTGTCTCTCTCTTTCTTCTTTTTTCAGGCGTCAGGCTGCGATGACACGGAGACTCCAGACGAGGTCAAGCTGATTGGTTTTGCCCAGCTCAGTGTTAGCTGATGGCCGCTGGACTCTCGGAGCAGGTGGGGCCCAGAGACCACAGCGACCACAGCGACGACCACAGCGACGACCACAGCGACGACCACAGCGACAACGACCACAGCGACCACAGCGACCAGGGCAGAGGGACATTCCACCACTGCACCTCCTCCTCAGCTTTAGTCACTCCACATTTCAGTCATTCTAGCAACACGAGTGCGGTGGAGTTGTGTATTTCTCAAATTCCTCAAATTTTAATACCACAATCATAATAAAAACTCTCCTTCTTTAGACAATAGAGTGTGATTTTCAACATAGTATTTATATCTGTGTAATCCCTCAGTGGTCCAGTAGGCGTTTATAGTCTATGTGCTCTTATACTTGCTCTGATACAGCTCAAAATCATTCTAAAGCGATTCATTCTGTCCTGTGAATGTGACTTTTTTAGTATCGATACCTGCTCAACTGAGTATCTAGTTTTGATACTAGTTTTAGTACTGAACCTGATCTGTATAAATAAAATACGATCAGACATAAATAATAAGACGATATATGAGATACAGTTATGAAGTCTGCCCTTGAAAATCCCTATAAACAAGAAATACACAAATATACGTGACATAAAATAGCAATTCCCTAATGGATATTGGCTTGGAGCTTCCTGGAAGAGTACTCAGGCTTGGGACTACATAGTTGTTTTTGTTGAACATTTCTTTGAGTTAATGTCAGCACTGCGAGCAAAGTCTTGCCTTTAGTGTATAATAAAACAATTAAAAATGTTAAATGACCTCCCCTGGGCTTTGGGCTGGATTCACATTCAGTTATTCCACATGGCCTCATGAATAGACTCTGTGGGGGGAACTATGAAAAGACACTTTCTGAATGTATTTTGTATTTTATACTCTGCCCACGAAACAAGCACAACTCAGAACCGAGCTCAAGGCAAATGTCCGATTAGTCACTGCTGAGAATGTCAGAATTCTCAGAAATTTAGTTTTTCAGATTTTAAAAAGCAGAGGTGGGTAGTACTCAGTTACATTTACTATATTTAACTTTATTATTATTTTACTATATTATACTTACTTTGTTTTACTTGTACTTGAGTAATATTTTTATTAAAGTAACAGTACTTTTGAGTAAAAGCTTTTGTGAAAATCCAAAAATGACAAAAGCCTCATTTTGACATTATGAAATTATTTGAACATTTATATTTCATGCACCGTTCCTTCGGATATGATTTAGTTTTTCTAATTTTTGTATTTGTGTGTATTATTTCATGTTTAATTCTTTAATTCTTTAACATTAATTTGTAATTATAAAACTTAATACATTATTAAAGCCCCAATAGTTACTCTTTAAGTTCATCTTAGTAGTGGTAGTAGTTTTCTCAAAACTTTTTTCTCTTACTTTTCTTGGACCAATTAAAATTTATTTTAAACTAAAAGTATTCTTACTTGAGTACAGTTTTTGGCTACTCTTCCCACCTTGAAAAAGTAAATGCAAAAGAACTAGAAAAGGTAGAACAAAATACATACTTTTAAACAGGCTGTATTGATGTGCTGTTAAAAACCAAGGTGTTGTAATATTTTTAAAAACTCGTAAACCATTTGAAATCTGATTTTGCTAAAACTTTATCTAAGTTAATTGCAAAAGTAAAAGAGGGAGAGTTTACTCGTAATGATAAAGTAAACTACATGTACAATATAAACACAACATAAATACACAACTCTTACTCCTGAACGTTTTGCTAGAATGACACAATAATCTTCCACTTGCCCCCAAAAGCTGCTCTGCACCAAACCGTCTCCCCCACGCACAGCTCCTAAATGCCCCTTGACCCTTGACCTTTTCCAACATTCCACCGCCAGCACACGCCGCGGATCAGGACGACCCCCCGGAGACTCACTCAGGTGTGAAGGGCCACCGTTCACTCGTAGCTCTTTGAATGTTGCACCATTGGATTTTTGTTACCTCTTCATAAAACTCATTATTTATTATTATTATTATTATTATTATCATGACGAGACACAAATTTCATTTTATTTGACCAGTTTCGGTTTCTCATTTTGAATCCGCTTTGACACACGTCTCATCGAACCCATTTACTCGCGACGTTTCCCCTGAGGTCACAACGTAATCTCCGGTAAATTTGAAACAAAAGCACATTTATTACACAAAGAATGTCTGTAAAAATATTAAATTCTAGCCACATTTTTTCAAAAGAAGGGAATTATTTATTATTATTAGTTTGAATGTGCAGTCAAATTGAGACCCGGAAGCTACTGTGTATAATTTGCTGCCGTGGACAGTGTTAAAAATGCTAGAGGTGCCTTGTTAATTTTTCTGTGCCTAAGAAAGTAGCTAGTGACAATGTATGACAAAAAAGCCTATTGAAATCCATGTTAGAAATGTATTACCACAGCACTGACACCATTCAAGTAATGTAAACAAAGCTACGATGCACTTTTGGGTTGACGAGCTAATGCCTTTAGCCTTTAGCCGTTAGCGCAGGTTAGCGTGTATGCTAATGTCTTCAGATGAGCTAAAGTGCGTATTACAGGTTTCGATGATGGTCTAATTTTGACTTAAGTTGGTTGGATAAAACTTGTTGTAAATATACATTATAGTTTCACACGAATCAAGAAGAAATTTGTGGGAAAAATAAGTTGAAAATGTGTTGAATATGACAGAAAGTAAGAGAGATCAAGAATTATGTCCAAAAGTTAAGCGCAGTTTATACCCAAGAAATACATTTTTCTGATATTTTAAACATTATTTGAGAAAAGTTAAATAGTTTTCTTATATTTTCATTTGTCAAATTATAATTTCTGTGTACATTAGGCTACGTTCACACTTGCCCCTATGCGACCTGTATCTGATTTTTTTCAAATGTGACCCAGGACACTTGGATATGTGGTCCTAAAACCTGATACATATCCGATTTTTTGACATGCGACTTCAGTCTGAACGGTCAGGTTGCATTCATCCAACCTACATGTCAGGTTCAGAGTCTTGTTAATGCAGGGAAAGTGAGGTTAGTGAGTTTATTAATATTTGGGGCTGTATTCAGGCCAAATTGGAGGGGTCTTATCGGAACCAGGCAGTTTTTGAAATGATTGCCAAAGAAATGTCCAAGCGTGACTACAGTCTGTCCTGGCTCCAATGTCAACAGAAAATAAAGAGCCTGCGAAAGCCAAATACAAGGAGGCTAAAGACTCAAACAAACGAAGTGACTGTGATCGTGTAACTTGTCCATTTTACGAAGAACAGGACCATATTTTGGGAGACAAGCCCAGCGTTTAAGTGACTTCCGTAAACACTGAGCACTCTCACTGCATGTGTGGACACTTTTGGGGCGTTAAAATTTCGCACTGGAGATCACATACAGGTCGCATTTAATTTTAAATGTGAACAACCTCGCAAAAAAAAAAAAAATCAGATTTCACAAAAAAATCCAAATTGAGGATAAGTCCTGCAGTCTGAGCATAGTCTTAGGCTACGTTCAGACTGCAGATCTTAATGCTCAATTTGGATTTTTTTGTGAAATCCGATGTTTTTGCGAGGTCATTCACATTTCCAGTTAAATGTGACTTGTATGTGAACTACAGTGTGAACTTTAAACAGCCCAAAAGTGTCCCGCATGTGCACTGGAGGACACGAGGACGTCAACCGCAACAAGCGTGCTCTGTGTTTATGGAAGTTGTCCAAACATGGACGCGAGCATTTAGCACCTGGAGATTTTAAAGTTCCTCTCGTACCGGAGCCAGAACATGAACAACTTACTTGTTTTAAGGAGGAGATTGAGAAGGAGAAGGACGAGGTTTTTGGAAGTGGCGTTTTGTGGGGCAGTCCGTTGAAATTAACGTGTGGATGTGGAGACGTAGCCAAGAGTGGTGGGATAGAGATGTACTTTGCTTCAGTGACACGGAGTCCATTAACAATTTTCGTATGATGAGAAGAACGTTTGTGTACATTTGTCGCTTGTTCATAATGTGTAGGTGGGATGAATGCGCCTTAGCCGTTCAGACTGAAGTCGCATGTCAAAAGATCAGATATGTATCAGTTTTAGGACCACATATCCAAGTGTCCTGGGTCGCATTTGAAAAAATCGGATCTGTGTCATTAAAAGATCAGATACAGGAGCATAGGGGCCAAAAAATCGGATTTGGGTCACTTCAGGCTGCAGTGTGAACATTTTGACGCTACAGCATGGTTGCTAGGTAACAATTATGGAATTCTCTAGTGCGATTTCCAACCTGGAAGTAAAATTTTAAACCTCAAGAAATGTCAAACTGGGAAAGGATTTTAAAAGACTTATTATTATTATTCGTATTTTTTTAGTAAGTAAAATGAGTAGTCTAACCTGTCATAGGCACTTTAAGATAATACTCCATTTATTTTTCCCGCAGCACACAGAGAACATATGTATTACTACTATCCTGGATAACTAAAGGTCAAATAAAATAAAAATGAATATTCCTCTGATATAACTATTACTCAACAAACTGTACTGTATGCCAATGCATCTGAAGACACCAAAGGCAACTATTAAAGTGTGTCATTGAGCCATTTTGTTTGTCCCAAAACAATTTCCGTAGCTCAAGATTGTTTTATTGAAGTGATATATAATAACTTCTGCTAAATTGTTTATTTTATGAAATAATTTATTGTGTTTTCTATGTACAGTATGTGTATCATTTCAGCGTATTATTACCTCTGTCCTCTGTAATCAGCTGATGTCAAATTTCCAACAAAGAGCAACATATAAAGAATTGCTATTTCAAACTGTTTCATTTACTTTTTTGAATTTCTTAATGGTGTTTTTTTCTTGTTGGGAAGATCTAACCCAACTTGTAGAAATTTCACTCCACAATCCAATACTACATAAAATGGGCAAAGTCCAAAATGTGTGTTATAGAAAAAAAAAAAAAAAAAAAAACCCACTAGACCAGGGGTGTCAAACTCATTTTGGTCCGGGGGCCGTACCCAACCTACTTTGATCCCAAAGGGGCAGGATCAGAAAATTCATGGCATATAAACCCCAAAAATAGCAATAAGTTTAAATATTTGTGCAGAGGAACACAAATCTATTACAGAAATCTTTTTTAATTAATGAACTCTTTCTTTTACAAAATATTATAATATTATGAACAACCTGAAACTTTAAGAAAAATACAATTTCAACACAAAGTTTTAACATTAACTTGTATGCAAATAGGAATAAGCCAATTTTTCTTGGAAAATCCTGCACTCATTTTCTCATTTTGGACCATTTGTCACGGTCAACAGTCAAAACGATCGTTCTTTAAGAGCGTTTGGAAAGAGACAAGTCTTCATTTGTGCTGCTCTGGTGGGAGGGGCCACGCACAGAGGCGCTGGAGAAGCTGATATGTTAAGCTGCGCAGAAAATTACCAATATTTTAATAGAAAATATAATTAAAATATTTTAGTAGAAAATCAGCCGAGGGCCAGATTAAAGGTCTTGGAGGGCCAGATCCAGCCCCCGGGCCATATGTTTGACACCCCTGCACTTGACAATATATAGACATTAACTAGGGAGTCCCTCAAGGCACTTTTCTAGGACCTTTACTATTTATTTGCGTGTTTTCTAAGATGCATTTGTTTTCTATGCTGATCTAAAGCAGTGCTAAAACAGAATTTAGTCACAACTCGATATGTGCAGATGTAACCGCACAAAGCCACAGTGATTAAACATTTTTGTTATTCGGTATCCAATAAAATATTAGACCAGTAAAAGCAGATGTTTAACTTTAATTATTCAAGTATTCTTTAATATAAAAAAACATACAATATACAGTGACAACTCCAAGTGGGATAGATGCTTTCACAGTAAATGTCACATTAGCTTTAACGTTAAAATAAAACTACAAAATCCATGTAACAAAAGAACAAATACGGCCACATTTGTGAATAACTCAAATGTCCACCATGTTTTCAGCAGCGCTTATGCCAGGAACGAGTGAGGATACATCCAGGTATATTAAATATTATTGACAGACATTATAGTGAGACATGGTGTCCTAAACCTCACTACAGCTGTAGTAAGGAGACAAAAAATAAAAAGTACCCCAATGCAAACAGAAAAAAGGCATTTAATGATATGTAAAAACACAGGCATATTCATGATGCAGCTCCTGTCGTCAAACTGAAGCTTGTTCTCACTGAGGGCAGGATGTCCAATGCAAAGTAACAATGACAGAGAAGTTGTAGCAAATGACCAGCACAGAGACATTCTGTATAAAAAAGTGAAGAGATAATCAAAGTGATTTTCATATGCAGTTATTTTATTCTGCAATGGAATTGTATTAACATAAATTACATGATGACATGACATGATGCTCTCAACCAAGGACAGTAAATATCTTTAAAATACATAACTTAATAGTCTTACGTGTCAAAACTGATAAACTTGAACATTCAACAGATTTTTTTTTTCTGGATTGAACCAGACACATGATACTGGTGCGTCTCTATTTGTGGGGTACATAATCTTACTATTAATAATTAATAATTTATCAATTTATCCAAGTCAGCGATTACTATCTCTGTTGTCTCTTGCTGGCCTTGATATTATAAGTTATACGGCACAAGCTAAAAGTGTCATTCCTAAAGAAGAGTTTTCATCAGATGCTGAGGTCAGAGTCTGACCAGATGAGACACTACTTCTTTCGTGCTTTTGGCTTGTTGTTTGTGAGCTAAATAGCGCTAGTGTAAAGCACTTCAGAAAATCTTACTGGAGTGAGCTTAAATTCCTACATCAATAGCCTCATACTGTGTTCTTGACAATATAAATCAAATGTCCATGTGTACATAGAGTACTCCATATTGTCTGTACACACAGGAAGTTGATGGAATCAGTGACTGCAGAGCTGTGGGTTTGGTGTCTGGCTCAAGGGCACTTCAAAAGGCAACACAAATCAGAAGGCAGGATTGGAATGACAACACCATGTGGTCTGCATGGCCTCACATGTTTTAACAATCATAAAGCATCACATTTAACAGAGAATGAACATGGACAACACCTGTGTCCTGGAGACACAGCAGCAGCCCTCTGTACAGAGTTCAGTGACTAAACAAAAGGCAAAGGGCACCAGTCTTAGCAGCGCAGGTGCTTCTTGCTGGACATGTCGTTCCAGATCCGGTGCATCTCCTCTGGGGAGATCTGGTGCACGGTGATGACGCGGCGGTAGCGGCACAGGCTGTAGGCCATCTTCCAGTGGTTGAAGCCACTGTTCTGATACGGGTGGATGTTGAGTTTGCGCAGACACAGGCCCACGTACACGTCCTCCAGGTGCAGCAGTCTGGTGTGGAGGGAGGTCTTATAGATGAGCTCAGCCACATCTGCAGAGAACACATACCCAGTGCCCGAGCAGAAGGGCGGGTACCGACTGTCCGGGTACAGGTCCCGGGGCATGTACCACTTACTGCGCATGTCCCGGATGGGACCCCCGTTTATCACGTAGCCTGTGAAGTACCTCCTGCGGGGCTTCGTGTTGGGCTTCAGCAGTTTGTGGATAAGGTTGTCCATATTCACAAAGATGTCACTGTCCGTTTTCATCACATACTGGGCCTTTGGGCAGAAGGTGGCCACCCAGCGCATGCCCATGATGGTCTTCAGAGTCAGGTTGTGGTACGAGTCGATGAAGTTCTCCACCACTATGTCATGGAAGATCTGGCTCTCCTGCTCCACCATCTGGTTGAGCACCTCGTCAGTGTTCTTGCCCAGGAGGAAGATGGTGAGGATGTGGATGTCTCCATAGATGCTCTCATCGCCCCAGGTCTCCCTGATGGCCTGACGGGCATCAAACTCTTTATGGGTGGTGCTGATGAGGATGACCAGGAAGGGGCTCACGCTCTCACACTTCTTGGGCTCATTGATGACAAACTCAAAGGAGTGCGGGTTGAGAGAGCGTGAACGGATGTTGGTGAAGGTGAAGTTTTTGGGAGTTTTGACAGTCTTGCGTATGGGTATGGACATGTGTCCTTCATAGGAGGACGTAGGCCGAGAGATACTGAGGTACCACAGTGCACTGGCCCAGCACACCACTGTCAGCAGGTACAAGCATGATACTTTGGAAGGCATTATGCTTCATTTGGGACAGTGGAGAGACGGGAACAATCTTCTCTTCCATCAGAGCAGCTCCTCTGAGCCCTGCAGCCTGGAGCTGCTTCTGCATGCGCCCAAACATGAACTGTCAGCGACGGAGGGCTGCGGGAAAAGTGGGGCTGTTTGGACATCAAACTCCTCCTGACGACACTCGCTGCTCCATTTACATCTGAAAGAAATACACAAATGGAAATTGCTAATTAATATTATGGAGTTATATTTCATAGACCTGTGAGTGGTTTTAATGGTGGATAAATCCAAATGAGCATCACACAATTTAAAATGTTACTGACTCAAACAGCACTTAGAGCATAACAAAATGTCTCACAAATCAAGACAGATTTAGTTTACATTGAGACACTTGATTAAGCGCCCCACAGTCATGTATGTTATAACCTAATGTCTGTAATGTCTCCTCCATCCGACTGAGGCCACAGAGAAGTGTGTGCCCAAAAACACTTGACTTGATTATGCCCAACAAATGCAGCTGTAATCAAATTATATTAGCACCATAAATATCCTACAGCCTCTGCAGAGGACTCACTTGTGCAGAGAAAGTCACAAGTCATCAGATTTCAGACACATCTCCAGGATCAAACTGTGGAACATTCAGCTCCAGTGGGCGACAGTTTGTGCTCGAGAAAAGTTCATATTAAAGTCCTATATTACACAAACTTTACACTTAAAGCCATGTTATAGTGTTGTTACCTCATGAAAAATATACCTGGAAAAACATACCTGGAGTTGCATTTTGTTTCATTCACACAAGTTTAGAGTAATCAATGCTCTGTTCCACCTTGTGATGTCATCAAGCAGATGTTAAAAACTACATTTTACCTTTTTCACTAGAGACTGACAATTATAGAACTAAAATTATCCAAAATAATAGAACAGTTTTTAAATTTGAGAGAAGAACTCAGCCTAAATATGCAGGATTTGTGTGTTAAACATGTATGAATGAAACAAAACACAACTCCAGGTCTGTTTTTGATGAGGAAACCACATTATAACATGGATCAGATAATAGTAATATGAGCTCTTTAGACTCAGTCACACTTTGGTCTTCCAGTTTTCTGACACAGGGACCAGCTTATGACGAGACCCCAAACCTGTGCCACAGTTCTGAAATCAGGTCCGGTCGGCTTCTGTCAGCCTGGATTAGTGGGTGGATTATATTAAATTGCTGGGACGTTGCCATGGAGCTGCAGCCCCTCTGATGAGAAAACAGCGTTGGTAAAAAAAAACATCCAAAACAAGTTATTGTTTTAAATTTACCGAGCGTGTGGTGCCAAGAGAAGCTGTGATTTTGCAGAAGCCTTTGACATAACGGAGTAGTATGTTCTCCTGCAGCTATAACAAAACTACTAATGACTTGTAATTTGTGTTGATTAATGGTTTAGTAATGATTCTTTGCAGTGACGGGTGTTTTACAGGTATCAGTGATGGAAGGTAACAAAGTACAAAAGTAAAAGTGCAATACAAAGTACAATTTTTAGGTGTCTGTACCTTACGTAAGTACATTTTACAGTGGGTACTTTGAACTTTCACTTCACTACATTTGAGAACGTGTATTGAGGACATGGTTTGACATCTGCTGAAATGACTGAGACTTATTTTTAGCACATTTCATTTCTGTTAATGTCCCAACTTCGAGCCACACAAAACACAAAAACAGTCAGAACATTAAGAAATCATTTGAATCACTAAAAACCGACATGTACTGTTTGTGTATTAGTGGAATATTCACCAGTGACCATGTAGAAACACATTAACAAACACTAGTGTTGTAGTCAAGACGGCACTAATCGAGACCAAGACCAGTCCGAGACTTCAGGGTCCTGAGACCGAGACAAGGCCAAGACTTTTAAATGTCGAGACCGAGACAAGACCGAGGCAGAGAACTTCCATCGGCACTTTACACAAAACTGTGAAGAAAGTGGGTAGGATTTTAAATTTTTCAAGGATTTTTTTCAAGTTTCTTACTGGAGTTACATTCTCTTACTGGTTTTACAGAGGGATTTAGTCTCTGCACATTTACCAAACACACCTCGTGACAAATACAGATGCATTTGTTCACTTTTATTAGGCAAATTTCAGCCACAGGTCACGGTAAGAAGTTTACTGCCAGTTGTAATGAAATATCATGAGTCCAAGCGCCTTCAAAGACCGAGACAAGACCAAATCCAAGCTCCTTCAAGACCGAGACAAGACCAAGTCCAAGCTCCTTCAAGACCGAGACAAGACCGAGTCCAAGCTCCTTCAAGACCGAGACAAGACCAAATCCAAGCTCCTTCAAGACCGAGACAAGACCAAATCCAAGCTCCTTCAAGACCGAGACAAGACCAAATCCAAGGTCCTTCAAGACCGAGACAAGACCAAGTCCAAGCTCCTTCAAGACCGAGACAAGACCAAATCCAAGCACCTTCAAGACCGAGTCCAAACGCCTTCAAGACTGAGACAAGACCGAGTCCAAACACCTTCAAGACCGAGACAAGACCGAGTCCAAACGCGGTCGAGTCTGAGACGAGACCAAGACTTTAAAAAAAACGTCTCGAGACCGGTCTACTACGAGACTTGCAAACACTGCCAAATAAATTTTAAGATGGTCTAAAACTACATAAAAATTGATTTAAAAACACATTTCCAGGAGTCTATAATCAATACAAGTGTTCATGGTCCCTTTTAGGTGTTTGATTTTCAATAAAAGGTAAGTGTCTAACTAAAAACTGTTGGCGAACATCTTATTTGCTGTCAAGACCTGCAGCTCATGCAAAATAACACAACCCCAATGACAATGGCCGTGCCCATGACAACTTCCGGAATAAGGTGGATATTGTCCGAGTGTCAGGAAGAGCATTGTTAACATGCTAGTTGTTGTTAGTATTACAGTGAAGTCAGAACGCTTGGACAGCCTAAAGTAAGTGAGGAATAACCCTGGACCACTGCAAACTGTTTAAAATGAACTAGTTTTAAGACGTAGAAAAATCAAGTACAGTTAAACGTTTTTAGGTTTTATTAATTCATTTACAACATCCACTTTTATGCAAAGATTCCAGACTGATGAAAAGTTAGTGCTGTAGCGTTTCCCATAGCGATGAACAATATTAATAAAGAAGCAACAAACCAATTTGTTTTCTTCATTATTTGTCTCCAAAATCAAAATGAAAAAACGCATAAAAATGGATTTTCAGTTTTTGATTTTGTGTTTAAATGAATCATGGAAAAAAATGGATAACGGCCGTTTATCCATTTTTTGCGCCACACACGAACTGAACTAGGACTAAAACAGAACTAAACCGTTTTCAGTCCTGGTCTCAGTCTGGTCCTAGTCTCAGTCCTGGTCTCAGTCCTGGTTTCGGTCCTGCTCTCAGTTCTGCTCTCGTCCCGGTCTCAGTCCCGGTCTGGTCCTGGTCTGGTCCTGGTCTCAGTCCTGGTCTGGTTCCGGTCTCAGTTCCAGTCTTAGTCTTGGTCCTGTTCCCGATCTCAGTCCTGGTCTCAGTCCTGGTCTGGTCCCAGTCTGGTCCTGGTCTCAGTCCTGGTCTGGTTCCGGTCTCAGTTCCAGTCTTAGTCTTGGTCCTGTTCCCGATCTCAGTCCTGGTCTCAGTCCTGGTCTGGTCCCAGTCTGGTCCTGGTCTCAGTCCTGGTCTGGTTCCGGTCTCAGTTCCAGTCTCAGTCTTGGTCCTGTTCCCGATCTCAGTCCTGGTCTCAGTCCTGGTCTGGTTCCGGTCTCAGTTCCAGTCTTAGTCTTGGTCCTGTTCCCGATCTCAGTCCTGGTCTCAGTCCTGGTCTGGTCCCAGTCTGGTCCTGGTCTCAGTCCTGGTCTGGTTCCGGTCTCAGTTCCAGTCTTAGTCTTGGTCCTGTTCCCGATCTCAGTCCTGGTCTCAGTCCTGGTCTGGTCCGGGTCTCAGTCCTGGTCTCAGTCCTGGTCTTAGTCCTGGTCTGGTCCCGATCTCAGTCCTGGTCTCAGTCCTGGTCTGGTCCAGGCCTCAGTCCTGGTCTCAGTCCTGGTCTCAGTTCTAGTCTGGTCCCGGTCTCAGTCCCGGTCTCAATTCCGGTCTCAGTCCTGGTCTCAGTCCCGGTCTTAGTCCTGGTCTGGTCCCGATCTCAGTCCTGGTCTCAGTTCTGGTCTGGTCCCTGTCTGGTCCCAGTCTAAGTCCTGGTCTCAGTCCCGGTCTGATTCCGGTCTGGTCCCGAACCTGGTTTAGTCCTGGTTCAGTCCCGGTTCAGTCCGACATCGCAGTTTAAGTCACGGAAACAGGAAACAGCCTTTGCAATTTTGTGTTTAAATGAAGAACGGAAAAAAACCTGACAAACTGAAAAAATCTTTATCCGCTTTTTCATTTTGGTTTTGGAGACAATCATTTTTTCGTTTTCTCTTTTTTTTTTTTTTTATACTGTAAAACGAATGAACGAATGATACACAGATTCTCCTCCACCTTTCTCTCTTTCTCTTTCTCTCTCCAGCGAAACCTTTACGAGCTCTGTTTTTTTTTTTTTTCAAACGCTCAATGAAAAAGCGAGAGTGGGTGGTTCGGCTTCACAGCAAAATGACCATGATGCATCACTTCTCCCTGTTCAAAAGCCACCTCCAGACGCCGTACGCACACAGAAACAACACGCGCGGACCCCGAACCCGATCTCCACGCGCTCCTTTACCTCCTCCTGATAAAAAACAAAAACAAAAACATGAACCAGCGTTTGTTGTGAATCACATACGAGTGAACGGGAAAGCGCCGGCTGGTCTATACTCCACTGTTTGTCTTATTTGGAGTGTTGTGACGTGTCTCTATATTGCTTTTCTGTTTTCTCTATATCAAACACATTTCTCTACTCCATTGAAACTCCTATCGCAGATCTCATCTCGAATAAAATTGCAGTGTGTGAAGGCAAATATACAGAGGCAAACTTCAATTCACTCGCCTATGCAGTTTGAAGAGCAAATACAAACGCTACAGTACGAAATGTAATCTTAAACA